GTATGTGTCATATATCGAAAATATGGCTGGTGATCTCATCGCTAAAGTTCCTCTTTACAAGAGATATGTTGATGACATCATAGTGATTTGTGAAATGCATGAGGATATGGCTTATCTACTAAATAGACAACACCGTACAAACATACATCAGCCTGACATGTGAGAAAGAGAATAGAAATCAACTGCCATTCCTAGATATACTTCTCAGTCAACGAGAAGATGCTTCAATAAGACGGTCAATTTACAGAAAGCCTACATGGACAGGACAATACCTGAATTTCCACAGTTTTTGTCCAATCCAATACAAGCGAGGTTTAGTAAAAATACCTGTTTAATAGGATCTATCGTACCAGTACACTTAGATGCGATGAATGAAGACATCAAATTACTGACCAAAACACTTAGGGAAATGGATATCCGACAAAGTTTATAAACCGTTGTAGAGGTCGAGTAGCACCAAAGCCAACTCTATACACAGTCCTTAAGAAAAATGTCCATATCACTCTACCATACAGAAGGGAGCTAAATAGTATCATTTTGAGACGTAGGCTGACACCAGCCATTAAGAAAACGTATTACGCAGCGAATCTTACCATTGCGGAGAAAACAAAACACATGCTTCACCACAAACCTAAACACTGCATCAGTGATTACATCACATCCCATTGTGTTTACCAATTTACATGTGTGTGTCATCACACATACATAGGGGGAGTAATCGAGTTATGCAGTTGAGGGTGGGAGAACATGTGCCTAAATGGCTTCAAAAACAGTGAAACAGTGATAAACGCTGGTGGGAGATGACGCTCTTTATCTATGGCTAAACATATCAGGTCACAAAGTTAATGTTCAAACAGCTTTCAAAGTTTTATATAGAAACAGTCAGGGATGTATTCTGATATTTGTGGAAGTCATAGCCATACACAAATTTAAACCACCTTTATGTGTACAAAAGCAGTTTGTTATTACACTACACCTACCTTGATAAACTTTGTTTTCTTACCAAGATTAGGACCGACTATGTCACTTCCTGTTTGTCCTCATCTTTCTTAATTTTAATCCCCTATTGTGTTAATTGTTGTATTTATCCCCCCTCCCAGTCCTCGGTTCAATATATATTGACTTGACAAGTAAATGTGTCATCAGATTGTTCGAAATGTATTGCACAAACACATCACATTGCTCAGATAAACTTTGTCTTCTAATTACGCTATCGAAATTTTAACAATCGACAACTTTATCGATACTTGCCTGGTAAGTCCAAATAACTGGTTATTATTGAAGACAAGTACAACGACGCAACAGTGACTGTTGACTGATATCATGCAACAATTAAGGCGAAGATAAGAAATGGAAGCATCAAAACACCACTGAGACTAATTCCCAGCCATATTGACTAGAGCTTACAACCAGTGTTTCTGGTTGTCGCGCGCAGACTAAACTAGAGGCGCATATAGGCAACCAAATGGCTTAGACCGATGATGAAAAATCTTACGACCTAATGTCAACTTTTAGTTTGATTACTCTTGACCTATTTTTAACATAACCTTCTAGTAGTTAACATCATGCATCTATGAGTGTATATTTTATGCAACGAATGGATTGTACTAAACGAATTACATTTCAACTAAACATTTAAAAATTCCCATTTCACATATTGTTAAGTTAAATGTGAACGAAGAATATCCTTTTCAATGAGGTCTGTGCTTATCCTTTCATAATAAACCGTTGTCCAACCCGAAACAAGGATGCTTAACCTAATTTGAGACTATCATCATGTACATGCCGATGCAATCGTTCCAGTGGACCAAGTCACATAAGGTAAGCTACTAGACACGTCCATCTCAGCATACAAGAACATCTAGCAGTTCGATTTGCAAAAGGTGCAATCAAATCCACTAGAAGTTCTACATTAGCACATCTGGTAGACCCAGGACACCAACACACCACGTTCCGAAGGCTCTACCACCTGCCATTAGTTAACGCATTCTCCATACAGCGGAAGCTGTGACTATAAGATCAACTAAGCCTGAGCTTTATATTCAAAAAGAACATACTCAAGCCTAACTTCCGCATTTGCCTTCTACTGACTAAACAGCACTCCCTTATCCTTTTACTTGTTTGTTAACACTTTTTTCTCGTTCCTTTTCCCTTTATTTTCATCCTTTTAAAATAATATATTAACAAATTTGGAAGTTCGTAGGGATTTTATTGGTCGATTTCAGGTTGATATTCATCATGGACTGACATCATTTGGAGAAACATTGGAAACCTGGAAGCACCGAACAGCCGTCTCATCCTAGTGTGGGACTTCTCAGGAGTACACACCCATGCCATGCATCGAACCCAGGACCTTCAGGTTCCGTGGCCAGCACGTTACCACCACTGAGCATATGGGTCAGACCTGACCTCACGTCCGACTTGGTTGACTAGCATGATTTCTCAGTGGAACTTCGGAATCACCGGTCGAAGCTAGTCACTAACGAGCACTAGATTAATCCAATTTAGAGGTTTGTGGGGATTTATTTATTGATATCAGGTTTACATTCATCATGCACCGGTATCAGTTGGAGAAACATTGGAAACCTGGGAGCACTGGACAACTGCTTCGTCGTAGTATGGGACTGCTTAGCAGTGGGCATCCATGACTCCGCCAGGGATCGAACCAACCTGAAATCAATAAATAAATCCACAAACCTCTAAATTGAATTAATCTCATGCACATTGATGACAAGCTTCGACCGGTGAGGACAGTTACTCAAGGACGGCTAGGAATGGAAGTCATGCTTTATCGTGGACTGACAGAAGCAGAAGACATGGACCATCAGAATCTGACCCAGATGCTCAGTGGTAACGTGCTGGCCATGGAACCTGAAGGTCCTGGGTGCGATGCATGGCATAGGTGTGTACTCCTGAGAAGTCCCATACTAGGATAAGACGGTTGTTCGGGAGCTCCCAGGTTCCTAATGTTTCTCCAAATGATGTCAGTCTATGATGAGTACGAAAGCACTTTGACCGGGTTTCCTTTTTATCTCTCCCCTCTTCTTATTCCGCTAGGCCTTCAGAATTTTCTAACATCTTTAGACAGTTCGTCTATCATTCACCTTTATTATTAATCTAATTATAGTACCTCAACAATTTCTCAGTTGGATTATTTTGTGATGAAATATGCACTGCATGTGAGTAAGTAGATAACTTTATTGAAGGCTCTCTCTACTCGAACACTTGTGGGCGTGCTAGAGCCTATGGTGAGATATCCAGGGAACTGTACTCGTCGAGTGATGTCCCTCAAGGGCGCCCACTCTCTCCATTCTTAATCAATTTTATCATAGATGTTCTCACGGAGGTCTTTCTCTCGTTACCGGACTACACAGAGGTTGAGCTAATCACAGGAGAATTTTCGTTAGACCTAGAATATGCAGATGACATAGTCCTGTTAAGTGGAGACGCTGACAAGATGCAGAGTCTCCTGGACACACCGAGTGGCAATTTGAGAATGTTTGGGATGTGTTTCTGAACATTCGAACGCGAATTGTTGCTCCAGGATCGGTCTTCAACGGTACCACAGCTAACAATAGATCATCGTCATCATTATCAACATAGGACCAGGCATTACTGCGTAACCGTCCAACTTGCCACACACCTCATATCAGCACATCAAGTAAAAAGGTAGTGAGGTGAAGGATGAAGATAAGTGAATGCAGTCAAAAGAAATATAAAGTACGAAAAGAAAGGAAAGAGGAGTGACAAAATAGTGAGATTCGGTATAGCGTTGTTAAGATGAGGATAATGTGTGTATACATCTGCGCCACTGACTTCGGTTCTGAGCCATATCACCTAGAGTCTCCAACCACTGGTTCCTCTTGTCCCGTGGACCCCAACCACCTAGTCTGCATCGTCCTACATGGCTTAAACCAACAGTCAGAGACTTCATACATTGGTGCCATGTTTTAGTCTGGCCACCTCGGGCCTTTTTCCAGCCTGAACCCACCTCAGCCAACATTGTGTGACGAGGCAATCGGTGACTAGGCATACGTAGTACGTGTCCCAACCATCTCAGTCGATGAAGGTTCACAACCTCGTCGACTGACTTACCTCTTCTCTAACAATAGATAGTGAAAATGTTGAGTGTATCGACCACTCCACTTACCTGGAAAGTAGGATCAGCCCTAGTAGCTCAGTGGCCGATGAAATCTCTGCATGGATACAAAAGGTTCGTTCGGCTGTTGCCAACTTACGCCACCTGTAACACCACCGTGATATCCGATTGTCTCTTAAGGGTGGCGTGTACTGCATAGCAGTCTGGTCTGTTTTACTGTATAGCTGTGAAACATGGCCGTTGAAAGTGGAAGACATGAGAAGGTGGTTTCAGGTGTTTGACCTTCGTAGTATAGGCCGTATTCAGTGGTGTCACCACGTGAGTAACGCAGAAGTCAGGTGTGGAGTTTCAGGGAGGGAAAAGAGGTAAATCAGTTGACGAGATTGTGAACCTTCATCAACTGAGATGGCTGGTCGGGACACGTGTTACTTATGGCTAGTCACCGTCTGCCTCGTCGCACAACGTTGGCCGAAGTAGGTTGAGGCTGAGAAAAATCCCGAGGCGAACAGACTAAAACATGGCACCAATGTATGAAGTGTTTGACTGTTAGTTTAAACCATGTGGGGCGATGGAGACTAGAGGGTTGGGGACCACGGGACAAGAGAAACCAGTAGCTCAGAACCGATGTCATTCTAAAATAAAATTTTCCGTAAATCTGGTCATCACTATGTTGACGGGTTCGATCTTATAACAACTTCAGAGTCTGATGACGAGGAGTTTATTGGAAAGAATATTCTTCATTCATATTTGACTTTTAATATATTTCTCATCCATTTGCACAAACAGCTTTTGTTACTGAAATTTCAGGTCATGAAGCAAAATTAGCTAGAAGTGACACAATTACTAAAAAAAAAAGGAATAGATATACAAAAACCTAGTTTAGAGCCAATACTAAACTTACTTTATCTGTTATATCGATTGACAAACGAAGGCGCTTACCAAGACGTTGAGCCTGACCACCATGAAAAATAGGATCGGGTAAGGGTACAGATCGACCAGCGACACGAACAGAAAGGCAACGAGGTAATGATTCTAAAGCAAGAGCACGATGGCTTGTTACACCGGATGAATAATCTGGAACATAGAAATCAGTTGTAGCCCAACCAAGTCTGAGTACAACTCGCCATTCTGAATGCCCACCAATCCTTTATATATTAAAAAAAATATTTAAAAATACGAAAAGACAGTTTCTTTTTAGTACTCATTTGAGGAGAAACGAAGGTATAGATGAAATAACTTGAATCTGATTAATAAGTCAGCAAATTCAATTAACTGAGATAAATCTGCATAGTTCATTAGCTTACCTTCATTAGCGAAAAATTCACGCTATACAACAATATTGACCTTATTATTCTACTACAGACCACCAATAGAACGTCAGGATCTAATCAACGTGAACTCATATATCTGAAAACTTACTGATTGTCACAACTATAATTCTTTCAAGTAAATTTTATGTCAAATAACACATTTAACCTCAAAAGAGACTATACTATCTCAAGATTAAATTGTTACATCAGATTTGTTGTAGATGGTTCATTCATGTGATCTTACATTTCAGTAAAATAAATCCTAACAACTCTCAAACTGGGCAATTAACTGACATAGCCAAAAAAATCTATGACCTTCTTTTTTACAACTTTTTCTGCCAATTTTGATTATTTCCTATCCTTTTCTGGATATTGCATCCTAATCCCTTCTAATTTGATGAGCAACTTTGACCGACATATAATCATGTCAGGTCCCACTTTGATACTGACTGACCAGATTCACACTATATATTCACTCGGTCATCCTCAGGGTACTTTAAACCTAACTATTTTCTGGTTAGTATTAAACCAGAGTAGCAGATTCTTTGGCATAAATCAGTTGAAAGAGCAGGTTCATAGCCCTGCATTATCAAGCCTGATCGGTTTTTCAACATATAAGGACTGTAAAGTCTAAGTGATTATATGTGATATTTAAGGGTAGCTTACGATTTACAACTATTGAAATGGTCTAAGTTGCTACATTTCACATGGATGGAACGAGAAGAGAAAACAAATATATGAAATTAATGTCGTCTTCAACAGGAAAAATAAGGGTAAACACTTCTAGAAAGTACAGATAAACAATGAACACTATGAATTGTAAGGAGAATAGCGTTAAAGTCTTTTTCTTATAGCAGTCATCACAACAGATCTCCAAATCATCTCACATGTTGAAAGTGATCAAATGTCCGTTTTTGCTGTTCATCAAAATATCAATTTTAAAATTGTACTACTCGCAAGTAGTCGAATACAATAAGTAAAAAAAGAACAATAGGATGAGATTAAATCGGCGTACATATCGATCGGAAACGTAGTGGTAACAGAACAATTTGCGGAAGGATGTGGTGATGTAATTTTATACAAAAGATGCAATTACCTTGGAATTCCGCTTACGCATAATTTTCAACTTTGTTCAATGAATGCTCCTTTTACACAAGTCAATCAAAACAGGAAGGTTTGAAGCAGAATCTAAGCTATTAGCTAATGGCTTGATTTCAGTTCAAGACAGAATAACGAAGAAATAGTCAATGAACAGCATTTGACGCCAAACAGACTAGATCTTAGGCGTTCTAAGTTCATTTACGACAAACACTTAGATCATAACTTATAAGTACATGTCAACAGTTGATTAACTCAGCAATCTATGTAATTCGAAGACATATACATTCATTCGAAATAAAAATACCACATGAGTGAAGGTGAAATGAAAACATGGGTCGCAGGAGTATTGGAACCGGCAACCTCCAACTTACTAGTCTAACGCTCTACCACCCGAACTGAGATCTTAAGCCCGATTGAGATGCAAACAACATCCTCGGCATGCTCTCGCAGTAAAAAACGAACTGTAATTATTGTGTGAGGGACTATGATACTACTTAGTTGGCTGCCCAGACCACGGTAGGTAGGGCGGTGTTGGAACCTACAACCCAGCGGTCGAAGTCAACTCCTTAGGCAAGTAAACCACAGTGTCACTAAAGCCACAACACCCACCTGCCTACCAGGTCAGTGAGGGCTTTGCTGCCTGGTTCAAATTCAGTCACGGCAGTATTTAATTTTGCTACCAGCATTGCCCACTTCCTACCAAAAATACCGGCCTACCAAACCAAAGCTATCTGAGTCTCAATAATAGTAATGCATTTATGCTTTATGCAATTTGAGAGAGACAGGCATCCTACTTCAGACTGATGTGTCTGATCTCAATCACCATTGACCTTGAGAGTCAACCAATCACAATCGACGCTGACAGATCGATAGGTTGTAATTGAACACTGACATGTTTTTAAGGACACACTATACGTGAACAGTCTGATATTTCTGAATCACTAACCGCCGGATCAATTTAAACTGACCACAACGACTTAAACTTTATTAACTGTATGACAGACACACCGAAGAAAAATCGAACAAATATTCCTGTGCAGAGAATAATCAGAGAAATAGCGAGGTGAAAGATAGTTTATTCAAGATCTGAAAAATTCACCATCAAATTCCCACAAGAAATACAACTGAAAATAAAATTACAGTTGAAAAATGATTCCACATTTAGCAAGGACTTCAAATGTGTCCAAGTTAGCAATTTTCTAGAATTTGCATTATGGACCTACCTGAACATTTCGCCATAGTTGAAGTGCTTCTAAACCGAAGGGATTTACCAAATAAAAAACAACCAAAAAGATAAATTTAGATTTCATCATCTTGTCGCTACCAGCGTGAAGTCAGAACGCGTTAAGAAAGTTTATACAACCGAGAGACAGAGAAGTGGAAAAGAAAAAAACTGAAAGCAGAACTAAAGAAAGTAGTTTTTAGATATCAGCGGTTTGTAGGCAGTCAACAAATACGAGTGCTAACAACAGATTTATATGATAGTAAACCCAATGAGGAAATATAATAAGGAACACTTAGTAGTGAACACGACCTGCCATTATGTACTTTTAAGAGGTAAGAAAGTTGGGTCACATTACATGGGTACAAATCACCGCAAGTCATAAAATCTCTTCGTTTAATTCACATAATGTATCCTAAGATGTGGAATTTTAAAATTCAATTGTATATATGGCCATTGTGCCTACTCTTCGTCAGTATCTTCTGAAGTAGGTCGAAACATATAATCATCGTTGTGATTAACATTATTTCTTTGTACGAGATGACTGACCGAACTGTATAAGTGCATAAGACTGAATTCAATTCTAGCTGCAATCACTTCATGAAATTGCATAACATATCCGAAGTATGAAATGAGTTACTTATCACAGAGCACTCGACTGTTGTCTGGATTCCAAGAAAGTTTACTCCCAAGCTATTTCCTTGAGAAGGTGTAGCATCTCTCAAATGATAGTTGGAATGTCTATTTTGGTACCATAAAATGGAACAACGAGTGACCACAGTTAAATAACATAAAAACCAACAAAAATGAACTAAACTTACTTAGGACGATGAAGCAATTTGATGACTTGGCGCTCCAATTCTAAGGTGAATATATAAGTCATGTAATCAGTTGTGAATCCGACAGAAGCTGCAGATGGAGGAAAATGTGGAGCGAAACCTGGATATTTTGTAATCCTAGAATCAGCCATTTCACGAAGACTACGAACCATGTTATCAGTATCAAGAACATTTGGATTTACATTTCCAGGAGCTGCAAACTGAACACGACGTAGTAAAACTACGGGTCGTAAAAAGGGGGACTCTGAATAGATGCCCAAAAGACCAGGTGGAGCTATAACCCAGTTCATTTCATGCAATGCATCTGTATCAGCTTTGCATCTAGGCCATACAGATAGTCTTTCTTTTCTAAAGCATCGTGTACACACTAAAAAGTAACACAAAATCAATCATAAAGCCTTGATGGAAACAAAAATCAATAGTACTCGTATAAGGCTGACGAAAAGTATACAAGGCTATTCAACTTATGCTAGCAGAATATTTTTTTCAGATAACAAGGACTTCATACAAAGAGTCATTATATACGGTAAAAAGGATTATCTGCTGCTCTTAAAGAGAATGGATTGAGCAAAATCTTTAAAGAAACTAACAGAGTAGCAGATAATCCCTTCTAGAATATAAGATCAGGTTTACAGATAAATACATACTAAGATTATATGAACTCCCCTAAAATATATAAACCAGAGGTACTACTAAGACTGATTCTCTATATGCAAAACGGTTGGTTACATTAACAAGTAGTGTGAATGGTGCATTTATTCTCTGATTGAAAGTTATGGATATATACACAACTGTAGACAGACTAAGGAAGAAGTTATCGAAAAGAATATTCTCTACGCGTCATATAACATCCAAAGTAACCCTTGTTTAATGTCAAAGAAATGCAGTAGAAGATGTCAAGTACTTCGGTGCTATAAAATAATTAGCACTTTTCAGCGATATAGAGACAAGCCTATTGGTCAAAAGAAGGTAGATAAAGTGTAGATGAAACTAGTTTGATTCACACTATCCTAAGCACCAAGGAATATTATTTCTTGATACTTCAAGTATTTTCAGAGCATATATTTCAATTCAGAAATAATAAAATAAATTACTAATTAATAATAATTTAATTATAGTTCTTTTTCATATATGCATCACACAGTGATAGAGTACTATGTACTGATAATGTTTTCAGCAGAATTTATTGCTCACAATCATATCCAGGATGAAATGATTCAATTTCACACTATCCATCTACACAGATCTAAGAGGAAACACACATGAAGAAAGGACTATCACAGTAAGACGGACAAACTATATTCCTTTAATCCACATAAATTTTATCCTACTGCCTAGCTACCAGAGAAATCCATGCTATAAACGGAGTGATATATTATTGTTATTATCATTTGTTCTTTAGGTTCCTGGTGGAAAATAGAGCTTCAGTAGCACGTCACCATCTTACTCTCTTCTCTCCAGTCTTCCTAACCTGGCTCCACCACTGCCTATAAACTTTCATTTCTTCCTCACACGATCGCCTGCATGTCACACTCGGACACCCAACTCGTTCTTTCCCATTTCGGGTTCCACTCCACGGCCTGGCCTGACGCGTGATATCAACAAACCATCTTCTCACTCTACATCCAATCCATCTCCACTTTCTTCTTCTACGTATTTGTTGGGCGTTAGGTTGTTGATTGGTTCGCTGCCAGGCAACACTTCTTCCTTCCTTATTCTTTTTCGCCTTTTCATCTCATCTTCAGTATCGAGTGAGGATAGGCGGCAGCTGTTCATATATATCTGCAGTTTGTTGGAAGGAAATGCTTTCCAAAATGTGCCAAGTCTCTCAACCATCACACAGAACCACTGACTTGACTAAGTGTTGAAAATATGTATGTTGTTGTTTATGCTGACTGCAGTGTAGTGCAGTAGATCTCCACACGGATTTCAGATATATGAAGGCTTGTCTTGTTGTCTTTCCGATGCTGGCTTTGACATCATTACCTGTGCGGCCGCCATCGCCTGTACTTGAAACGATGCTGCATAGGTAGGTAGGTAGGTAGGTAGGTAGGCAGGTAAGTGAAAGAGACAACTTCCTTTAGGTTTCTCCCGTTGATGGTGATTGGTACTAGTTGCTGTTGTTGTTGGCTGGGTGTCTTCATCATCTCTGTCTTCTTCTTACGTCAACCTGAAGGAAGTGTTGTGTTTGCTGCCCTGCCTGTTCCGTCAACCTGTTATTTTTCGCCTGTAGATCTTCGAGCTCGTGCAACAGTAGATATAAATCAGCATCGGCGAAATGAAAATCTTCTAGGGTCTTTTCATCAGTCAAACAGCGTATACTCATCTTCCCGCTCCTCAGTTTCTTGCATGATCCAGTCCAGTCCACAACAATCAGGAAAATCATTGGTGATAGTAGGCGGGAACCTTATCTTGTCTTACTCCTGTCTACACTTCAAAGGCATCACTCAGCTTTCCGTTGTGAATCACTTGGCATGTAGCATCATATAGAATGAAGCTGTTGAATGTTGATAAAGGTTTGTAAAAATAAAACCGTAGTGTTGAAGCAGCTGCCTGCCAAATTACTTCTCCGACAACGCCTCGATCGAAGGCCTTTTCAAAGTCGATGAAGTTGAGGTAAAGAGTTGACTGCCATTCTATGCTCTGTTCTATGACGATCCGTAGCGTCGCCTAGTTTACTAACTGGTACTAAGCCCGGAAAAAGAGGGAGGGTTGAGTGTGGGGCTAGCTACCCTACCCCAGAAAATCAATCCAATCGCTAAAGAAACTTCAAAGCACAGAAGAAACAAAAGAATAAACGGAGTGATATACATAGCCAAAATTTAACAACTTATCGCTACAGGCCACCAAAGGTTTAGAGAAAGATTATAGGGAAAATTACGAAATATTACTAATTATGCTTTTAATAAGATAAAAAACAAACCTGCTGCCCATCGAAGGAAAGCCATAGCACCCAATTTCCGCATCCCATTAGTTGTTGAATCAGATACTGCCATAAGATTAGTCGATACAAATAGTGATTCTACAGAAGATGCAACAGATCTTCGGCTATTGGTTGGTGTGTAAGAATGAGTGATTGCTACTTTTGGTGCAGCACTGATATTATTACGTGAACTGCAGTTTACTGAATTCAACGTAACTGAGCTCACCGTGACATGAGTAGGTCCTGTTGGGATACATGCAGGAGCACTAATGTTTATATTCGACTGATACGATAACTGAGCGGGTCGAAACCCCGTAAATAAATTTCCATTTGGTCCTGCCACTGCATTCACATAACCAGATACGTTTGCAGGGGCGATAGGCACTTGAGAAGTATTTGAACCACGTAAAAGTGTTTGAAAGATACTACTGAATGCTGGGTAGTTGGCGAAATTATTGACATTCGACTGTGAAATGTTACTCGTAGTCACCAAGGAGAAATTCGACGATGAACCACTGACTAAAAATGTAATTTTGACCAATTAAATTTGTCTTACCGGCCGACTTCACCACCAAATTAGCACCTCTCGATTGTGTATTTGAATGATAGGTGTTAAATGCATTACGAGGAGCACTGACTAATGATGGAGCTTGAGATATGACAGGGACGGGTATGGAGTAATCAGCACGACATAACTCAAAGATAAACCTGGTCTGAAAGCACCATTAGGTAAATTAGGTGCAGTCATTTTCAAGCTAAAAAGAAAGACAAGGATTTTAAAGTGGTAGTAAACTAAATACATAACAAAGACTTACATCACATAAAAAAAACTGCCCGAAGTTCAGTAAGAACGAACTAACACAACCCAAAGAAAGGAATGCCATTCACTAAAACAACATGAAGTCAAAATACATAATCATACAAAAAAGAACATCCCATGAAAATCCGTGAACATGAGATAAACATTCATCTGCTGGTGTATATATAATTCTTTGACTGCTAACGGCAACAACCAAATAGCTTTAAGATATCCTATGGTAGGGAATAACCTCTCCTGGTTAACTGGTTCACTAGTTACTAGCCGGTCATAAGTCTGGGTAAACAGGGAAGGTTGGGCATACAACTAGCAACCCTACCCAGGAAAACAAATCCAACCGCTAAAGAAACTTCAAAGCATAGACAAAATATAAAACATAAAAACAAAATTATTCCTCGCTGGAATCAAAGAGACGAAATCACGCCGGTTAGTGAAAGCCTTCGGGAAGCCAATTGGCCCATGTGCCTCCTCTTCTCTCGATGAAAGCAAAATTAAACATGGGGACATGCAATATCCGCACCATGTATGAACCCACCAAGACTGTCCAGATTGCAAATGACATGAGAAGGTATAGTATTGAAGAGCTGGGAATCTACGAAAGCAGGTGGAATGGAAGTGGACTCTCCAAACTGTCAACTGGAGAGTCAATAATCTACTCCAATATTGTCACCCACACGACAACCACCAGCACACTGAGTTTTCGAGTGGCTATCATGATGTCCCCAACAGCATCGAAGGCTCTCATACAGTGGGAACCAATCTCCTCCACGATCAGGATCATGACAACGAGGTTCAACTCAAAAGGAAGGAAAGTCACAATCATACAATGCTACACTACGCACATACAAATAATGCAGAGCAAGAGAAAAAGGAGGAATTCTACACACAACTGCAATCAACACTGGACAAGACCTCAGTTGGCGACATGAATGCCAAACTGGGAACAGAACACAGGAAGAAAACTCATCATGGGTTGAGAAGCACTCGATGAGGTGATGAACGAGAATAGAGAATTGTTTGCAGAATTCTGTGCATTCAACGATTTGGTGCTTGCAGTGAGGCACTGTGTTCAAGCAAAAGGATATCCACAAAGCGACATGGTTTGGATTTCACCAGATGGACACACTAAAAATCAGATCAACTTCATCTCAACCTCAAGAAAGTGAAGACGCAGCCTACTTGACACAAGATCAAGAAGGGGAGCAGATCTAGGTTCACATCACTCACTACCTTCTGCAAGGAACCTGCCTTCAAAATCAAGTTGAAAGTCTTCAAGGAAGTAGGTGATAGACCACAGTTCGAGATGAACAACCAGAACAAAAATTGAAGGACGAAACTACAAAGGAAATCTTCATGTCAGTCAGCCAGCAAGACAAAATGGGAGATGTCGAGGAACATCCTTGAAGAAACCTGTGTGGAAGAACACTGGAACTCTTTGAAAGCTATGTGGAAAGAAACGTGCACAGTCGTATTAGGAAGGAAGAAGAAAGAAGATAAGGAATGGATGTTGATGGATACATGGACGCTGATAGAGGAGAGGAGGGTGGTGAAGCAGAAGATGAACCAGTATAGTGCAAGGATGAACGACGAGAAGAGGAACTGAGTACAATGTATATAACACTACACTGGACAAAGAAGTGAAAAAGAGTGCACTCAAAGACAAAAGACACTTCCACGACACACTGGCAAGTGAAGCAGAACAGGCTGCCGACTGGTGGGAGAGACCTGACAACATTGTATCAAATAACCAGGTTAATGCCATGCCATCTGGGAGGGAAGAGATCAACACAAATGAAACCAATAAAAGATGGTGAAGGAGATCTAATCACCAAAGAAGAGAAACAAAGGAAATTATGGACTGACCAATTCAAAAAGCTCTCAAATAGACCACCACCTGTACTTCGTCCAGAAATTACACCTGCAGCCCAGCCACGGAACTACCAGTTAACACAAGCTCTCCGACGAAAGTTGAAGTCCTGAATGCCATAAGGCTACTACAATGCGGGAAAGCAGCAGGACCAGGTGGAATACCACCAGAAGCACTGAGAACGGACCCACGCACAACAGCGCACACGCTCACACCACTACTGCAGAAGGTCTGGAAGGCACGAAAGGTACCTGGCCATTGATTGGAAGCACAGCTACCTTGTCAAACTCCCAAAGAAGGGAGACCTAAGTCTTAGCAAGAACTGGCATGGGGTCATGCTGCTGTCCACATGAAGCAAAATATTAAGCCACATCATCCTAGAGAGACTAAAAAACGCTCTGGATTCACAATAAACACCAGAACAGGCTGGTTGGCTAGCTTCAGGTGGAACAAATCATGTGCGGATTAAATTTCAACGCTACCCGACACATCATCGCAGAACAGAGAAGAGAATAATAGTCAACTCGCTACCTCAACTTCATCCACTTTGAAAAGGCCTTCGACAGTGTCGACCGAGAATAATTTGACAGGCAGCTGCTCCAACACTATGGAATACCACAAACCTTTATCAACCTCACTCAACGGCAGCTACATGAAGACACCACATGACAAGTAATTCACAATGGAAAGCTCAGTGATGCTTTGAAGTGAAGTGAAGACAGGAGTGAAACAAGGTTGCCTACTATCCCCCATGATATTCCTGATTGTGGTCGACTGGACTGGATCATGCAGCAAACAGTGGGGAGAGAGAAGAGGGGGATACGCTGGAATGCGAAAAACATCCTAAGAGATTTGGATTTCGCCGATGACTTGTGTCTGATGTCACATGAACTCGAAGATCTAAAGGTGAAAACTAACAAGTTGACAGAAGAGGCCAGGCAGCGAAGATAGAAATTCAAGTGAACGTAGAGAAGACGGAGGTGATGAAGATACACAACCAACACCACCAAACCAACAACAAGCTCCAATCACCATCAATGGGAGAAACTTAAAGGAAGTAACCTCCTTCACTAATCTAGGCAGCACTGTCTCAACTACAGGTGGCACAGACGAGAACGTCAAAGCCAGGATCGGAAAGACAGCAAGACAGGCTTTCATTAACCTCAATCCAGCGTGGAGATCTTCTGCACTCACCATAAAGCGTGAACAACATCCGCATTTTCAACACAAAGTCAGTCAAGTCAGTGCTTCTCTGTGATGGTTCGGAGAACTGGCGCGTTACGAAAAGCATTTCCAACAAACTACAGACATTCATCAACAACTGACTACGCTGGCTTGTTACTGAAGATCAGATGGCCAGAAACAATAAGCAACAAGAAACTCTGGTCGGGCAACGAACCAACCAGGAACCTATCGCCCGACAGATATGCACTGGAAGAAAGTGGAGATGAATTCGATTGGGCATGCACTGAGAAGGCCGACTGGGGACATCACGCGTCAGGCCAGTTGCTCGAGTGAGACCCAGATGGGAAACGACGAGTTGGGCGTCGGAGGTGAGTGCGACATGGAGGAGATCGTATGAGGAAGAAATGAGAGGTTCTGAGCTGTCGTGCAGCCAGGTTCAAAAGATTGTAGAGAACAGAGTGCACTGGAGACGTGCTACTGAAGCCCTATGTTTCAATAGGAACCTAAGGGACAAATAATAATAATGGTACGGAATACACAACCAACACCTGGTACCATGACGTGATGGTCACGCTTTCGCATCACACTGGCCCAATGAACTACATTGACTAGAAAGCTTGTTTCCTCGAGGTCCTACCATACCACAAAGGTCTGTTGGATAGTGAGTGAGTGGTAAGATGAAAAGTAGTTACCATTATACTGTAAATTACTATACTGAGATGGAGGTCTGAGGGCAAAGTCGTACTGCTGGCTGGCTGGGGTGAAACAGTAGTAAGGTGTTTCCCTTGGATGACCAGCAGTGCCACGCTAATGCTACTTTCCCTAAGAGAAGGGAGGGTCAGAAAACGTCGGTCCCAAAAATATCACACTCCTTCCTGCCTGTCTCACAATCTTCCAGTGCTGCAGGTATGGGTTTTCTCTATCTGACGTTAGAATAAACAAACCTCGAAACAGCAACCCGCAAAAGACTGGGTGTGTAAGTTCTCAAACCAATATTCCATGGTTTGCGGTTACAAAAGTCTTCCTTTCTTCAGGTACACTACAGAAATTACCAAGGTGTTAAGAGCCACGAAGTGTTTGTCGCCCGCACGCTCCCAGTAAAACAACATCCTACTCAACTATGTCTCATTCCTTGGCTTCACCTCCTGCTACTAAAATGAAAGCTCTTACAACTTCTTCAACCTCTGACTTTGCAACTACTGCCAACGATTAGTCATCGAAACCTCACTCCTAGTCTCCTAAAGCTTAGGCCATCCATTTCATCCTGGAGCTTTCGCCAAATCGAACAGCAAGCACCGCTCGCTAACTGTGGAACCTTGAGCTATGGTATGGTTCTCTGTTGTGTTCCTGAGACACGTAAACAGGACTCAGTGTGGTTATTAAACTGACCTTACCTCGCCACAACAGTGGATCTCCAAAACACCCTAAGAGTATCCGGAAACCCAATGACTAGTTGTCGTGGACTTACTGGTGTAGGCATAGGATTGAGTTATAGAGCAGAAAGTGTGCTTTTCGACTGCATACCAGTCAACAACCGCCTATGTGCTGTTCGACTGAATAGATCTGTAAGGATTAGAAAGGGTTGTGAGACTAGGCGATACTTATTCATAGTCTTGGGCTACACACCCACTGACTGTAGTTCGGATTATGCAAAGGACGAATTCTGTGAGAAGCTGTCAACTTTTCTACAAAGAGCGAAGCATTCAGATGTATTCATAATCGCAGGTGACCTTAACTCTCAGGCTGGGAAGCTGAGCCAATCGGGAAGGCATCTTCGCGGTATTTACGGAATCCCACGCCAAAAAACCGGCAACGTTGATTACCTGTTGCAATTTTGCTTCGACTATTACTTGTTTCTGGCCAGTATTGACTTTCGACATAAGAAG